TAGCACCGACGCTTGTAAACCGAATGGTAAGTTTTCCAAAAACGTCCTAAATACCTTGGTTTTCACGCTCGATTCCTCTTTTTCAGACCCCAAAGCGTTTCCATTGAAAACTAATGGCATATTCGGAATCGGTGTGTGAAACTGCATCGGATGCTGTATGACACAATATATTTTCTAACAAAAACATTTTCTCGAAAAAATGTAGGTGAGGTTTAGGTGTTTTTCGTCGAAAAACATTTTTCTTCAAAAAATGTTTTTTTTTCTTAAAGGTGGTTTTTGAAGTGCCACTTTTGAGCAAAAGAAACCCGTGTATGAGCACGAAAGTTACATGACCGCCTGCTATGCAAAAAATGCACACTGTGGGGAAAGGGGAGTACATTATTATACTTTGTTGAGAAATAAAAATGTCAGATTATGCTGGAAAATTTGATGATCAAAAGTATCTTTTCTTGGTGATCACAAGTACATTTACTCAAACAAATTAGTTTCCATTACATAGAGTAGTAAGCCACTAGATTCAAGTATATGAGAAAATACCTCTGAAATCTGTGTTTTGTGGATAAATCGGATCATTCAAAATTCGTAGATAAGGGATTGATTGTCCAAAAGTCTGTGTTCGATAGCCTAGAAATCATAGTTCGCGATTTTGAGACCAAAGGAATGATAAACGCATTATAGATTTATTTTACCAATAAAAGGTTTGAAATTTGAGATGAATGGTAGATTCCGATAATCAAAAGCAACGTAAGTCCTTAAGATAGGACTTAAGGATGTTGCTATATCATAGGCATTTATAAGAAAAGCATCAAATTCAATATTCTAAAACATTAACTAAATTATAATTGTATTTTACAAAGCCAAATTAAATATACGTACATCCCATATACTACCATTATTCAACTCATAGCGCAAGTTGCTCCATTTAACACGCATAATTTTCATAAGGTTATCATTTAATGAGCTACACACTAGTGTAGGACATGCTTGAATAAGCGTTTGATTAACGACATCGCTAATAGAATCAATGCTTGAATTTGATGTATTATAAAAACTAACAACAATGTTGGAGTAATTCTACAAGAATAGTGAACACTTTTCGTGGTACAGAAATTTGAGATAAATTTTAAATGCCTACGGGAATATATGAAATATTCGACCATAAAGGAGCTACAATTGCTTGAGTTAAATCATTAAAAGTAGTACCAGTCATGTCACGCTGATAGTATGATTGACCAAGCGACATATAACCTTTATCGGCTATCTGAAAAGTATGAAACAATTGTCATTTTTTTCTAAAATTCAAACAAAAGTATTTTACATATAGTTTGCTGTAATCAGAAGGAGGATAAAACATTGGCTCAAAAAGTTCGTATGTCGCCATGCGAATATTTGGATCTATATCACGGTTTGTAGTCAAAATGAGTTCTTCATCTACAATTAAGATAAAACTAAATTTATGTACACATAAAAGTGTATCATACTTAAAATATTTTACCTGGACAAGCCGCTAACCATGAACATTGTTCAGTTTTGTTTTCTGTCGCATTACAAATACACTGAAAGTTATAACATACGCAACAATTTCTTGACAAACTCCGCGTTGCATTTCCGCACGAAGGAGAGCAATTACTGATGATGGCCCAGCTTGACCATTGACATAGTACATCTGGAAAGAAAAGTATATATAAAGTACCAGATGAAATAATTTTCGAATTGGACAATCGAAACTCAATACTTACATGATGGAATTGTTATCAATGTAGTAGTAGGTGTTCTTGAAGTCAAAGTGGCTGTTGTTGGGGTATTTGTAATTGACGTCAGAATACTAGTAATCGGCGAAGTACTATTAGTTAAGAGAGACAATGCATTTGAGGTTGATAGCATCGCTGTACCCATAGATGATATTTGTTCAGATGTCGGCAGCGAAGTTTCAATTGCGTTTATTGATGATGAAAGTGATCTAGTAGTACTTGCTGGTGATGAAATTATTATTGTAGATAATATTATATTTCCAGTCAATGACTCTTCCTTGGTAAATACTTGTGTTGATAAAACAGGACTAGAAGTAATTTGTGATGTGGATTCGAGTATTAAGGTAGTAGATTGTATTTGTTCAACGGAGGTGTAAGTGCTCATTATTGCTGTTGGGCTACTCTCACTTAGTGTAGAAATTTCACCCATACTGGTAAGTGTCTCTGATACTGTCGAGGTTTCCATCAAACTTGTAACAATGTAATTATTAGTAGTACTCTCTAATACATTCGTCGGAGGTGCAAGCGAACTCTCCAATGATACAATAGTAGATTCAAATGTCAATAGTATTGTCAGTTGTTCAGACAGAGTACTGCTCTCTATGCTGGATGTGGAAGAGAGTGTCTCTGACAATGTGAACAACGTAGCTAAAACAATGAACGTATAGCAGATGAAAATCTAATTAAACATATTCGAAATAGAAGAGATTTTTGAATTCAAAATTAGATGCCTGTACATAGATGTCTTTTCATATCTGTTAAAGAAACAAATTTATTTTTAAGGTGTTTCTCTGTTCATTCTAAAACGGAAATATTCAAGACGGATTATATAAGTGTGATAAATTGCTACTCATTTCTTCTTATTATTAGAGCTGAAAAATTAATAACAGGTATAAGTAGTAGTATGTATACATATATATTGACTAACAGTGTAGTATATAGTACAGAACATCATCAAATGCGAGCGAATGTATACAACTATCGTTTATTCAACGTTAAATAACCGTATTATAACAATAATTCTATTTGTGTGAAACGTTATACTTACCATCTCCACTACCATCGATTGTTGCACTACCATCGATTGTTGGACCTTCATCCACTATCATTTGTCTTGCCATAAAATCGACGGGAATTAATTCTTCATCATGCATTGCTATCAAGTTTGCCCATCTTTCAGCAGCTTCATTACTAATTGTAAACGATAATACATCATATGGTGATGTTGTTTGAGATATATTTGAATATTGAACGACTTGTGACGTATATAGAGAAGAAACGTTCGTTACTGGTATCGTTGTCAGTGATATGACTGTGGTTGTAAATGGTGTCGATGTATGCATCTGAATATCACGTTTTTGTCTCTGTTGACTTTTATTTGATGACAATGTTTTCGTCGCTTTTGACGATGTATCAGAATTAGCTGGACGAAATTCTTCGTAGAATACCTTTTTATTATCATTTTTAAACGGCTGAAAAACGTGAATATGTTCAGCATTATCAAAATCTGATAGTTCACGAATAATACCCGTTAAATCAGAATAGGAATGTTTATGATATGAACGAGACCATTCAAATCTTTTTTGACTTGTAGCTAAAATAAAGCAGCTATTATCCGTTCCAGAAGTCAAGGCACTCGGTTGTTTTTTGAATAACTTTTG